TACATAACTTAAAGATTGCTTCCTTTAATACTGCTCTAGTACCTGGCACACCAGTCAATGTCAAGAAAATCATAGAAACCATACCAAAAGACCTCGATGTAGTCTTTCTCCAAGAAGTTTGGCTCCAATCTCATTCCCACCTAATTTCTGAAGAGCTGAAATCCTCATATCCATACTCCTTCCATGGACACAAGGAAGTTGTGAATGAAGCATCTTGTACGGATGATTCATTCCATAGATTCGCTCTTCCTTTCCTTCATTGTGTCCGTGAAAAAAATTTGACACTTTCGTGGACAACTTTGGGACCTTGTGCTGAATTTTTGAGTCGAGCTGCCTATGGAAACTTTAAATGTATATCCTGTGTCCTGACATCTGTCGTTGAGAATAAGAATATAGCCAATTGTTACACTCCTGGACACACAGGTCAGGAATTTCTCTATGACGGCTCCAATGGATTGATGGTTCTGAGTAAGACACCAATCTCACGTGCCAATTACACTTCCTATCCTTCATTTTTATTGAGTAGAGGATTATTAGAGATGTGTATCAATGGATTATTTATTATGGAGTCACACTTTCCTTTTAATTTTGGGATTGACTTGCCAGTAATGTATCAACCAGAGTTTTCTAGGATGGTTATCATGAAGAGACCTAATATCTTGGTTGGTGATTTGAATAGTGGACCATTGACGCAACCAGAAGGTTATGAAACACTTGCTGGATATGGATATCAGTCAATTGATCCAAATAAGGCAACTTTCTGTGTGAATGGATTAAATTGGGAAATTGGCGATTGTTCTGATGATCCAGAAAGAAATACTGGAATGGATCATATCATGGTTGATAAATTTAGTAGAATTTTGGAATGGAATTCCAATAATTCCTTCAAACTCCAATTATTTGGAGATTCAACTCCAACTCCGAGTGATCATTTGGGTATCACAACTGAGCTGAATTATAATATGGCTAGAAAACATCCATATTGTGTCTAAATAAACTAAAATAACACCTAGGTTTCTTTGAAATACAGTTTCTTCCTAAATTTTGTTGTAATTCGAAACTGAAAGATTAAATTCAAACACTGATGAACTTTGCCTGATCTAAATTAAATCAAAAAAAAAAATGTCATCATTTAGTGATTTGCCTCCAGAGGTGCTCATAGAGATTTTCAACTTTCTCTCCATAAAACACCTCGGAACGATATTACAAATCGATCGGTCAACTCATAATATTGTAATGAATTCCAGAATTTTTTGGAGAAATTTATGGAATGAATATTACAATCGTCTTTTAATTCCAAATATGATGCTGGAGATTTTGGAGAAGAAATTTGATGAAAATACAAATTCACCACAACAACAATTTATTGACTTGATAGAAATGAAGAAGGAAATGAAAGATGGAATTCTCAAGATTTTATCAGATTTGGAATTGGATCGAAAAGAGTGTGAAAAATCGAGGGAAGAACATGAGCAAGAGTATGGATATGATGAAACCTCATTGTGGTGGATGGAAATTATTAATGGAATTGAAAGGGATATGGAGCACTATGAGAATTTATTGAAATTGTTACAAGTTGACTAAATATATATTTAATATTTTACAATGCTATTAATTTTTCCCCTATACTCAAATATATATCATACTGATATTTAATTGTAACAGAGTAAGAAATTGAAATTGTTGTTTATTCAATTAAATGTAATTATTTTTGTTGTAATACGAAACTGAAACATTCATTCCAAATCTAACATTTGCATACAATATATGAATATGATCGAGTTTTACACTTCTCAACTCTTTCATTTCACTAATTGCCTTGGAACCTTCCCTTTCAATATTTTCATTTCCATGAATGTATAAAGTTTTCAAGTTGACCAAGTTACTGAGATACTTTGCACCCTGAGTTTGAATTTGATTGTGATCAATGGTGAGGAGAGTTAGATTTTGCATTTTTCCAATAAATTTGGCGCCTTCATCTCCAATTTCGTTTAGTCTAATGTTTAGGTTTGTTAATTGGTTCAATTGACTAAGTGATTTGGCTCCTTCATCATTAATTCGATTGCAACTAATATTAAGAATAGTTAATTTTGCAGTTGACTAATGA